AGTAGTGGGGCTTGAACTCTGGGCCTGGGCACTACCCTGAGCTCTTCAGCTCAAGGCTAGCACTCTACCACTTGAGCCATAACGCTACTTCCAGCTTTTTCTGCTTATGTGGTGCTGAGGAATTGAACACAGGGCCTCATGCATGCAAGGCAAACATGCTACCACTGGGCCACCTTCCCAGCCCCCTCCTTGGTCATGTTTTTTTTTTTGTTGTTGTTTTTTTTTGGGGGTCCGGTCATGGGGCCTGATCTCTGGGACTGGGCGCTGTCTCTCAGCTCTTCAGCTCAAGGCTAGTGCTCTACCGCTTGAGCCACAGCGCCACTTCTAGCTTTTTTCTTTTTGTTTATGTGGTGCTGAGGAATTGAACCCAGGGCCTCAGTCATGCAAGGCAAGTGCTCTACCACTGAGCTACCTTCCCAGCCTCTCCTTGGTCATGTTGATGTGATGAATTATATTGATTTGCCTATACTAAACCAGCTTTGCATCCCTGAAATGAATCTTGTTTGATCATGGTATATAATTTTTTTGATGAGTTGTTGAAGTCAGACAAAATTTTGTTGAGAAGTTCTTTTTTTGTCAGTTGTGGGGCTTGAACTCTGGGCTTGGGTGCTATCCCTCAGCTCTTCAGCTCAAGGCAAGCGCTCTACCACTTGAGCCTCAGCGCCACTTCCCGTTTTCTAGTGGTTTTTATTGGAGAGTCTCATGTGGACTTTCCTGCCCGGGCTGGTTTTGAACTGTGATCCTCAGATCTCAGCCTCCTGAGTAGCTAGGATTACAGGCATAAGGCACTGGTGCCTTTTTTAATGAGTCATTGCCTGGTTTTGGGATGAGGGTTATGATGGCTTCATAGGAGTTTGGTAGTGAACTTTCAGTTTCATTGAAGAGTTGGAGGAGTTCTGCTTTGAAGTCCTTGTAGAATTTAGCTGTAAATCCATCAGGTCCTGGGCTTTTCTTGGGTGGGAGGTCTCTATTTCAGTGCTTGCTATGGGTCTGTTAAGTTGGTATAACTCATCTTGATTTAGTTTGGGTATGTCAGTATTTGCTAGAAATTCATCCATTTCTTCCACATCCTCAAGCTTATTAGCATAAAGGTTTGAGAAGTATTCCCTTATAATGTTCTGAATCTTGGTTGTTTTGGTGGTTATGTTTCCATTCTCATCTTGAGTTTGTTTACATGGGTGTGTTCTCTTCTTTTCCTAATAAAATTTGCTAAGGGTCTGCCAATTTCGTTAATTTTTTCAAAGAACCAATTCTTTATTGATTCTATGTTTTTTGGGGTTGGTTTTCCTTATATGCAATAACTAGTATATGTCTAGGACAAGCAGAAGAAGTCAAACGCTATATATATATGTGTGTCCCAAGATAGGGACACAAGAGATTCTATCTTTCTTGTTTTTCTTTTTTTTTAATATTTTTTTAAATTTTATTTTATTTTATTTGTGAATATACTGTACAGAGGGGTTACAATTGCATGGGCAGGATAATGCGTACATTTCTTACCAAGCATTGCAGCCTCCTCCTTTGTTTACCCTTCACATCACTTCCCAGCCTCCCCCCTCTTGTTTTTCTTTTTGATGTACTTACAATTTACTATCTTCCCCCATGGTACAACCCCTGTTGTCACTGTATTTGATTCCAGTGTCCTGCATCTTGTATATACATTTTTCTCATTTGGGGAGGGAAAGGGAAATAACAAAATACTGAAATAAGTATACAGGATGACCCATTGTAACAATGAGATGTACAAGACTGTATGTTAAAAATGAACTTTACAACTTTTGGAGGGGGGTAGGAGAGGGAAGGGTTGGGGGATGGGGAAGGGATGGTAGGGGAAAAATAAAGGAGGGGATAACAATGCTCGATAGGAAATGGACTCATTACCTTGCTCATGCAACTGTAACCCCTCTGTACAGTATCTTTTTTTTTTTTTTTGGGGTCCGGTCGTGGGGCCTGAACTCTGGGCCTGGGTGCTGTCCCTCAGCTCTTCAGCTCAAAGCTAGCGCTCTACCACTTGAGCCACAGCGCCACTTCTGGCTTTTTTCTTTTTGCTTATATGATGCTGCGGAATCGAACCCAGGGCCTCAGGCATGCAAGGCAAGCACTCTACCACTGAGCCACCTTCCTAGCCCTGTACAATATCTTTACAATAAAAATATAAATTAAGAGCAAAAAGAAAAAGAGAAGTTGAGCATTTTTTTTTTTTTTGAGGGGGTCTGGTCGTGAGGCCTGAACTCTGGGCCTGAGTGCTGTCCCTGACCTCTTCAGCTCAAGGCAAGTGCTCTACCTCTTCAGACACAGTGCCACTTCTGGTTTTCTGGTGGTTAATTGGAGATAAAGAGTCTCACCGATTTACCTGCCCTGGCTTGGTTTTGAGCTGTGATTCTCATATCTCAGCCACCTGAGTGGCTAGGATTACAGGCATGAGCCACTGGCACCTGGCACAATGTACCCCTTTAAAAAAATAATTAATTTGGCTTATTCATTTTAAATATAATTTTATTAATCTGAACACCTAGTTTATTCTTTATTAATACATAATTTTATTAATCCAGGTGCCTGGCTTTAAAAAAAAATAATTTTATTAGCCTGGGTGCTGGTGGCTCACCCCTGTAATCCTAGCTACTCAGGAGGCTGAGATCTGATGATCAAGTTTTTAAGCCAGCTCAAGAAAGAAAGTTCATGAGACTTGTATCTCCAAACTGATCACCAAGAAGCTGAAAGTGAAGCTGTGGCTCAAGTGGTAGAGTGCTAGCCTTGGACAAAAAAATCAGGGACATGGCCAGGCCCTGAATTAAATCCTAAAACTAGTACAAAAAAGACAAAAGTAAATTCCAAGTACTACACTCAAAATTTTCCTTCAAGTTGGGCTGGGAAGGTGGCTCAGTGGTAGAGCGCTTGTCTTGCATGCCTGAGGCCCTGGGTTCTATTCCTCAGCACCACATAAGCAAAAAGAAAAAAACCGGAAGTGGCGCTGTGGCTCCAGTGGTAGAGCTCTAGCCTTGAGCTGAAAAGCTGAGGGGCCGGCCCCCGGGCCCGGGTTTCGGGCCCCCCACTTGGCCCCCCCCCAAAAAAAATTTTTTTTTTTCCTTCAAGTCTCTAAGTTAGCTAAATTTTTTAAGTGTTTGCCACAGCCCTGCACACCAGTGGCTCATGCCTGTAATTCTACCACTTAGGAGGCTAAGATCTGAGGATTGCGGTTCAAAGCTAGCCGAGGCAGGAAAGTCCGTGAAACTATCTCAAATAAACCACTAGAAAACTGGAAGTGGGGGCTGGGAAGTTGGCTCAGTGGTAGAGTGCTTGCCTCGCATGCACGAGGCCCTGGGTTCAATTCCTCAGCACCACATAAGCAGAAAAAAGCTGGAAGTGGCACTGTGGCTCAAGTGGTAGAGCGCTAGCTTTGAGCTGAAGAGCTGAGGGACAGCGCCCAGGG